GACCGGGTCACGGGTCAACCTGATCAACGCCATAAAACTGATCAAAGTACCTGTACGATGCATGGGATATATCTAAAGTTGAATAATAACATGTCTGAATTACATTCCATTACACAGTGTAATGGTACATAATGATCAATTATTTGAATAAAAAAGGAAAAGGGGAAACTGTCAAATAGGTCCTCGAACTTTCATAAAAAGGTTAATTAAATCCTTCTATAGGAGATTTTGTCCGGCCGTCGCGATTTGGGGCAGTTCCCGGTGGAATTTTTTGATGAATTTTTTTTAGCATCTTATTCACCAAGTCTAGTTTACTCATACCATATTTCAGTTAAAATTTCAATCGGGAACACATTCAAATTAATTCTTGAAGATAACTGCGCATTTTTGCGTTCTCGAATTAATTTGAATGCGCTCCCGATTAAATATTTTGATGAAATTTGGTATGAGTAAACTAGACTTGATGAATAAGATGTTCAAAAAAATTCATCAAAAAATTCCACTGGGAACCACCCCAAATCGCGAAGACCGGACAGAGTCTCCTATAGAAGGACTTAATTGACTTTTTTATGAAAGTTCGAGTACCTATTTGACAGTTTTCCCAAAGGAAAATGATAAATAGTCTCTTCTATTATTTCATATTCATCACTTAATAACATGTTTTTATATAGTATTACAAAACTTTAAAAATTCATTAAAATTTGAAGAATGATAAATAAAAGTTGTGCGCAATTTAATAATGTCAAAGTCTATATCTTTGTATTTTTGGGACTCTTCGTATATTCTGCACCTTTTTTAAAGTTATTAGAGTTTAGTTTTATGTATCTACACTTTCACTTTATTTTTTGTCTTTTTTCTATTTTTATTTTCTATGATAACGTGTGAAAATTATCTATCCATTTTTTGAACTAATACAAATTTTTATATTGTTATTATTTCATTGTTTTTTAAATTTATATGAATTTTATAAGACTAATCAATTGTTCTTTAAATTAACTTTATGCTATAAAAGATTAAAATGACTTGATTGACGACGTTTTTACACTAAACATGCTTATATGATATATTCTTTAGTATATGAACTTAAGCGATGTATTGGAAACAATCGAAGAGTTTATTTGACTCTTTTGCTTTTATATTTTAAGAAGATTGATCACTACGTACTACGTAGTATTAAGTTTCATGCAATGTTTTGATATTTTCTTGTATGTTTTTGTTATTCTCATGTATAGAACAAATAGTTGAAACAATTTTCTATTTTTCATTATACTCCCTCCATACCAAAATAATTATCCCGCTTTTTTTTACATTGATTGTATCAAGTTAATTATTCCACTTCATGTTTGGAAAAAAAAATATACCCTATTATTATTATTAGATCTAATGAAGTCGAGATCTATCTACTTCTACATTTTTTTTCTTTGTATTCTTTCTCTACTTTCTGGATCTATCTAGCTACTTTTTTTCGTTAGTGAGAGTAAATACGAAAATGTTGTTCAAAGATATTTTTTCCTCTATAAAATATATTTCTTGCAGATTAATCATTTTGAGTTCAACCACTTCAACTTTTGGCATTTCTGTGAAGAAAAAAATTTGAATTTTATTGTGTAATTACTTTATTTTTTCCTTTGTGAATCAAAAATTCATTTTTGCTGGTAAAATCAATTACAAATATGCAAGTTTCAAAAAAAGAAAATGAAGGTGCGTACATGCATATGTGTATTCATGTTTCTAATTGCTCTATAATTTCTTCTTTTGGAGTAAAAAATGATGTGTGTGTATCTAAACATTTAAAAAGGTACATTTTTTGGCTGTTCATACTCCGTAACTTGCGATAGTGTATCACACGTACACGAATCCTCCATTTGATCCATCCCGGTTGAATTACGTTGAGATTGACAGTCTTGATAGGCATGATTGACGAAAAACTATTGTCTTCTACTACGTTAAAATATTGTGCCCAGTTTTTACAATGAGCTAAATAAATGTGAGATAAATTATATGTAGTATATATGAACTTGCTCAATGAATATTTAGCATGTTAGGTGCATTTCGTAATTGTAATGGAAAGTTTTATAATGGAACTTTGACATTTGAGTAATAGTAATGGAAACTTCCATAATGAAAATTTGACATTTCAGTAATTATATGGTACATGTATTCTTTGACAAAGAAAATAAACATCAGGTGTGAGTCGTGTGACCTTAATCCCTAATTGAGCAATTTTGTAGATTCTATCCATCTTCTGCCAATTACTTGAATTATTTTTTTGCGACTTTGCTCAATTGCTCTTTACCGACTTTACTTTTTATAGCTTTGTAGTTTTTACTTTTTATGACTTAAGAACTTTTTTTATTTTTTTATTTATGTCTTATACTGCGTATTTTAATAAACTAGCAGGGGGCTCTCTCTCAAAAAACAAAAACAAAAAAAAAACTGGCAAGGAAGTGGGGGGCTAAGGACTACTAGTTTAATTGTTTAATATTTTCTGCTATTTATGTCTTTAGACTTTAGTTTTTAGTCCTTTTTAGGATTGGTGCACTAGTAGTTTGCACTAGTAAGTTTAGGACCAGTATTTGTAGTAATTATTAATCTATATTTCTACATTTTTATAAATATGTTAAATATGTAGGTATTGTCATTTGTCATGACGGGTAAGTGAAGATTTGATTTCGGATGTACAAAGAGAAAGAATAAGTTGAGAAAGGATTTGGTTATTAAGTCATTTCCCGGGTCTATGGATCAGTATATAAAGACAATTATTTCTTCTTCAAAAGTTGTTGACAACGACAATACGAATGTTGATGGTGAGAATGAGAATAGTGATGAAAATGAGAGTGCAAATACCATGGATGAGGAGATAGAAAGGGTAGATCATCATTACGAGAATTTAGTTGTTGGTGATTTGAATTCAAATTGTGAGAAAGAAAATATAGATGACCTCACTACTTTTGTCATTTCAGATGATTTATTTGACCCGGAAATTGGAAAGCACCAATTTGTCAAAAACTTAGAGAATTATCAGTAGAGAGAGGACCAATAAGAATAAGTGGTATTGAATATCCCGTTGATAGCAAACGGAGTTTCAATGACAAACTTTATACTCGATGCTTGGGAAATGGGGGGAAATATGATAGGCCATGGTTGATTTATTCTTTGTCAAAAAATAAAGTCTTTTATTTTTGTTGTGTATCATTCAAAAAAGGTGTTATGACAAGCCCTCTCACGATTGTGTGTTAGGGTATAATGATCGGCACAACATACATTGTAGACTTGTACACCATGAAAAGAGCATCGATCACATCCTTAGCATGGAAGCATGGTGGGAAGCAAAGGTGAGACTAAGAAAAAAAAAGGTAACCATTGACGTTTCGAAAAGTAGTTATGAATAAAGAGGATTATTAGAGAGCTATTTTAAAGAGAATTGTGATTGTTGTGAAAACTCTTGCTACATGTAATATAGCTTTTTGTGGCAGTAATGAGAAGATTTTAGATGAAAATAATGGAAACTTCTTGAAGATTATTGGTATGATTGCAGAGTTTGATTCAATAATGGAAGAGCATCTCAGACGCATACGAAAGAAAGAGATTTGAAACCATTGTCTTGGTCATAATTTTCAAAAGAGATGATACTACTTCTATCAAATGAAGTTAAAAAATCCTTGAAGTAATTAGGAGTGCAAAGTAACTTCTCAGTTATTCTTGATTGCACACCAGATGTCAGTCACGAGGAGCAAATGACACTTGTGATCAGATGTGTAAATGTATCTACAAGTTTTACAAGAGTTGAGGAGTTTTTCATTATATTTGTGAAAGTGATTGGGACAGTCGAAGAAGCTCTCTTTCATGAAATTAAAAAATTGCTTGAGATCCATGACCGTGATTTTAACAATGTAAGAGGGAAAGGTTACGATAATAGTTCCAATGTGAAGGGGGTTACTAAGGGGTACAAGCTAGGGTTTTACGAGAATATCATAGAGCAATTTATACTCCTTGTGGTTGCCATTCCCTTAGCCCCGCACTTTGTGATATGGTTATGAGTTGTCGACAAGCAAAAACATTTTTCGGTTTGGTTCAACACATTTATAAATTGATTTCAAGTAAATTCTTAATATTTTGACTTCATTTCAATCAACTTATTAATTTTGTAATTATGTTCGTAATTTATGATTATCAACATTCTTTTTATTGTAAAATATATGTGACTTTAGGTTCAACTAAACGGTGGGAGGTTTTCAAGACTTATGTTAAAGATCGTGATGGAAATAGGCTCATTCTTAAGTTATGGTCAAATACACATTGGGAAAGTCGTGTTGCTAGTGTAAGGGAAGTCAAGTTTCAGGCACCACACATAAAACAAGCATCGGAGCACCTGACCAATTGTTGTAATGACCCAAGCACAGTGAGTGATGCAAAGCCCATATGCAATTATGAAAATGAATTTTGATTTTTTTTGGTGGCATGATAATATGGTATGAGCTACTCAAAAAGGTAAACAGAGTCAGCAAAGTGCTCCAACAGAGAGATATGAACATGAGCTCGTCTCTCACCCTCTTGAAAGGTCTGGTTTCTTTTTTTCAAGAGTGTAGAGAAGATGAGTTTGCAGTGGAATTACATATTCAGCCCCGATTTCGGGAGACTCAGGTTCGTAGTAAAAAGAAGTTATTTGATGAAAATGCTAGGGATGAACCGATAAAATCAGCAGAAAATGTGTTCAAACTAACTTACTTCTTGTTTGTTGTCGATAATGTTATCTCTTCACTTACTAGCATATTTGAGCAATTTTAAAAATACGAGAATACATTTGGATGCTTGTACGAATCGATTAAGTTGAAGGGGCTTAGTGATGACATGTTGATGCGTTGTTGTGACACACTTGAGATTTTTTTGAAGCACAGAGATAAGAGCGATATTGATGCAATCGACTTGCTCTCGGAACTACAATTGCTTAAAAAATCATTGCGAGAAGGCACAACAAAAGCAACTGAAGTGTTGGAGTAAATAAAATTGTTGGGATATATTATCCCGGCCTATTACTGTTCAGGAGCCCAAGACAGTATCCAGTACGGAGCCCGAGCAGCTAGGTCCATTTCGGTGCATTCTGGCCCACTTTGGCCATTAGGCCCGGCATCGGCCCGTTTGGCCCATTAGGGTGGAGAGCACCCTTCCCCTTTCCCCTATAAATATGTGGTTTCCCTCCATGTTTGGGGATCCCCTTTTCCTCCTTCATGCTTCTTCTTCTCTAGACTAGCTTGATCCTCCATTAATAGGAGCTTGAATATTGTACTATGTAATGGTGAGGAGAGTCCTAATGAGAATGAGAGGGCTTGGACATTAGCCTAAAAAGTCCCGTAATTTTCTCCCTTTCGGGTTTCCACGTAAAAACTGAGTGTTCATACATATATTTACTATATCGTGTTGGATTAAACTCAACACTGGCGCCGTCTGTGGGAATCTGTCCAAAAAGATTCACGTTGTTCTTCGTTTCTAAGAAAAATTCATACGAAAATGCACTGATTACAAAAAGAAAAGAAAAAAAACATCCTGATGAGAAGTTCTAGATCTGGGGAGAAGAAAAAATTTGATGCTGGAGGTTTTGGATTTCAGCAACAGGAGGGAGCTACTGATTCAAGCAAAAACAGGAAGAGGCTACGGATTTGGAAATCCAAATCTGGAATTTTTCCAGACCTTGGTTGAGGTCGCTGGAAGCCACCGCCGCGCCACCGCCCGCCTTCAGCGGCCCGCCGTATACCGCTCCCCGTCTGGTTGGCCTCTGCTCGAGCCGCCACCAGCCACTCCACCGATGCGGCCTGAGAGGTATCCCTCCTGGGATTCCTTGGTTTCCGCCATTAATGGAGGTTGGGAGGCCGAGGAGGTATGTCATGAAGTTCAGCCGATCCTACACCGGAGATTACCCCCTCTGGACATCCTCGCGCCGCGGTGAGCTCCTTGACCACCGCCAGTACGCGGCCAACCCGCGGCCGGCAAGCGGAAGTGACGCCGGTTGTCTTGCTTCGATCTTTCCGATAGACGCTCCATGTCTGGCTCCTTGGCTCACAGAGGGCCACGTCCAGGAAGTTGAAGACAGCCTGCCATGCTCTGGGTTGGATGGATGAGGCCCTCTCATATTTTGAGCGGTCAACCAGCCTCCAACACTCTTGGCAGAAGATTTCAACCCCAAAAGCTAAGTACCTATAACTTCTAAATTGGTACATTAATTATTAAATGTTTAAAATGTTAGAAGCATGGCTATTATTATTCTTTATCACCATTATTTATTAGGGAATAAAATCTCCCGAAATTAAATAATGTCGAGCGATGCTCTAGTGATAATTAATTCCACCATCATTTTAATTAATGACTGGTTGTATGTGCTGTTGGCCCGCTCCTGATCGGCTTTAATTAGCGAACGGAGTATACTTGAATGGCCTTTGATAGGGAAGTATCATTGCTATTGCCGGTTATGTCACTATTATTTATTAGGGATAAAATGTCCCGAATTAAATAATGCTGAGCGAGGCTCAAGTGATGGTTAGTTCAGCTAACATTTTATTAAGTATTTGATTTCTTGTGGGCCTGATGGCCCACTCTCGATCAGCTTGATTAAGCGGTCTGAGCGTCTCCAAAAGGGCGACGCCCCGACGACGCATTTTAATTTGAGGGTTGCACGTTAGTCCGCATGGCACTACGTGCCCGATCGACGATCATACCCCAATGTAATTTGCGCCACTAGGCGAAGTGACTGTGCCAAACGCGGCCTGTGGGGCCCGAGGGCACCGAAGCGCTCAACCTCGTTTTTTCAAGGGCAGTGCGACCAACTTGGGTCTGAGTTTGAAAACTCACAGACCGAGGAATACCTCTATGTGACGTTCGGCGGGCTGCTAATTGGCCCCGCCGCGAGCTGCTACGTCCATTAACCCCGCACGATGAGCCGGGCCGAGGGTCACGATGACCCATAGGCCGGTAATCGTGGGTGTTAGAGGGAAGCCGCGATGACCCATGCAGATGGTTATGTGTGCATATTTATTGTCGGGCCGTGCGGCCCGTTACCATGCTTATTGCGCAGCCGAAGCCGCTCGACGCGCTTGAGCGAAATGATTAGAAGACGCTCGGCCCGAGTCTTGAAGACGTGCAGGGCCGGCTAAAGAGGAGACCATCACGGCTGAGGACCGTGAGACGAGCATCTCCACCTAGAGGCCGAGGGCCTAGAGGAGACCACCACGGTTGAGAACCGTGGGACGGGCATCTCCACCCCAGAGACCGATGGCCTAGGGAGAACACCTAGAGGCCGAGGATCTAGAGGCGAATGCCATGACAGAGAACCGTGAGACGGTCATCCATCATCCAGAGGCCGAGGGCCAAGAGGAAACCATCACGGCTGAGAGCCGTGATACGAGCATCTCCACCCTAGGAGCCGGTGGCCTAGAGGAGACCACTACGACCGAGGGTCGTGGGACCATCCTTACATCACGACCGACCCCACGGTACGGCATGTTTATCACCAGAAGACCGGTATCATCCCCGCGCTGCGCGGATGAGAGCTGTTGCACGGATACACTTGATCGGCTTCTCATTGCCGACATCATTATATCATGACCGGCCTCTCGGCACGGCGTGTTTATCTTTTGAAGACCGACCTCGTCCCCGCACTGCGCGGATGAGGACCGTTGCTTGATCTTGGTCGGCCTCTCATTGCTGACATCGTTACATCACGACCGGCTTCCCGGCCCGGCGTGCTTATCATATTTGAAGACCGGCCTCGTCCCCGCCCCTCGCGGATGAGGACCGTTGCTTGCCTCTTTCTGATCGGCCCCCAGGCCGATACTTTTACGTGGCTACCGACCCCCCTGATACGGTGCCATTATCATACTTGAAGACCGGCCTCGTCCCCGCACTGCGCGGATGAGGACCGTTGCTTGATTTCAGATCGGCCCCTCATTGCCGACACTATTATATCACGACCGGCCTCCCGGCTCGGCGTGCTTTCCATATTTGAAGATCGGCCTCGTCCCCGCCCTCGCGGACGAGGGCCGTTGCTTGATTTTCTCAGATCGGCCGCTCATTGCCGGCGCCATTATACCACGACCGGCCTCCCGGCTCGGCGTGCTTTCCATATCTGAAGACCGACCTTGTCCCCGCCCCTCGCGGACGAGGACCATTGCTTGATTCTTTCAGGTCGGCCCCTCACTGCCGACACTATCATGTTATGTTCGGCCTCTCGGCACGACATATTTATCTTTTGAAGACCGGTTTCATCCCCGCGCTGCGTGGATGAGAGCCGTTGCTCGGATATATCGGCCTGATTGGACACTATTGTCATCTCCATTATCAGGACCGACTGCTCAGCGACATTATGATCATTGTATATCGGCTCCCAATGCCGACCTTCTTGAGTTAGCGATCGGGCTCACCCCTCCCTTCATGAGGGTGACCATCGCCTTCGCATGACATTATGTGTGACATCACTTGTGGTTATTCTTGGAACCGACGAACGTATTTTCCTCCCTCAAAAAAAAAAAAAAAGATGGGGAGAAGGGGAGACGAGATCCTATGAGAGAGGGAGTCTTGACGAGGTATGCCTGATCTTCCTTCGCCGCGTATGACGAACGTCTCCCGACGCGGAGGCTAGTAGGAACGTGGGGGGGGCTAGACGTACCAAAGGGAACCTCGGCAAGATAAACCAGTTCCTCCCATGACCCGTGGTTCGATGAACACCTTCTGCTAAAGCAGAAGACTAGTAGGGCCACGAGCATGGGACGACGAAGCAGGGAATCCCGACGTGGATAAACCAGTGACCTTGCGATCGTTGGATGACCGAACGTCTTCTTCGAAGCAAGAAGATTAGTAGGACCACGACAGGGACGAACGAAGAATAGGGAATCCCGACGTGGATAAACCTGTTTCTTCTCATAGTTGGGATGACGAACGTCTCCTGCGAAACCAGGAGACCAGTACTCACGAGACTTGGGAAGAACGAAGAACCAGTTCTTTACCGGAGTCTGTTGCGTGCCGAGTGTACACCGCTTAGCGGTCCATACATAGGACCACGGATACGGTAGACGAACGAAGACCAGCTCCATGGATCAGACATGGAGAACCAGTTCTTTATCGGAGTCTGTGCGTGCCGAGTGTACACTGCTTAGCGGTCCGTACATAGGACCACGGATACGGTAGACGAACGAAGACCAGCTCCATGGATCAGACACGATGGACAAGTTCTTTACCGGAGTCTGTGCGTGCCGAGTGTACACTGCTTAGCGGTCCGTACATAGGACCACGGATACGGTAGACGAACGAAGACTAGCTCCTCAGGTCAGATAGGAGGGACATCACCCAGATTTATTTCAGGCTCACCATTCCTTCCCGGATGGAATCCTGGCAGACGATCGGCTTCTCACAGCCAATCAGGAGAGAGACTTGACACATCACCAGCACGGCCGAGGGCCGTGAGACGATTATCACTCACCGACAGGCCGAGGGCCATGAGATGATCATCACCATTTTTATGCAGCACGATCGGCCTCTCAGCGCCATCGTGTCTCTCTCACGTTCGGATCGCGCATCTCTTCCAGGATGGCGACGAACGTCTTATGCAGTGCGATCGACCCCTCAGCGCCATCGTACCTGGCGTCACGGTTCGGCTCGTCCATCCCTTCCAGGATGGCGACGACCGTCTTATGCATCACGATCGGCCCCTCAGCGCCATCGTGTCCTGATTCACAGTTCGGATCGCCCATTCCCTCCAGGATGGCGACGACCGTCTTATGCAGTACGATCGGCCCCTCAGCGCCATCGTACCCAGCTCACGTTCAGCTCGTCCATCCCTCCAGGGTGGCGACGAACGTCTTATGCATCACGATCGGCCCCTCAGCGCCATCGTGTCCAGGTTCACGGTTCGGCTCGTCCATTCCCTCCAGGATGGCGACGACCGTCTTATGCAGTACGATCGGCCCCTCAGCGCCATCGTACCCAGCTCACGTTCAGCTCGTCCATCCCTCCAGGGTGGCGACGAACGTCTTATGCATCACGATCGGCCCCTCAGCGCCATCGTGTCCAGGTTCACGGTTCGGCTCGTCCATCCCTTCCAGGGTGGCGACGAACGTCTTATGCATCACGATCGGCCCCTCAGCGCCATCGTGTCCTGATTCACGGTTCGGATCGCCCATTCCCTCCAGGATGGCGACGACCGTCTTATGCAGTACGATCGGCCCCTCAGCGCTATCGTACCCAGCTCACGTTCAGCTCGTCCATCCCTCCAGGGTGGCGACGAACGTCTTATGCATCACGATCGGCCCCTCAGCGCCATCGTGTCCAGGTTCACGGTTCGGCTCGTCCATCCCTTCCAGGGTGGCGACGAACGTCTTATGCATCACGATCGGCCCCTCAGCGCCATCGTGTCCTGATTCACGGTTCGGATCGCCCATTCCCTCCAGGATGGCGACGACCGTCTTATGCAGTACGATCGGCCCCTCAGCGCCATCGTACCCAGCTCACGTTCAGCTCGTCCATCCCCTCCAGGGTGGCGACGAACGTCTTATGCATCACGATCGGCCCCTCAGCGCCATCGTGTCCTGATTCACGGTTCGGATCGTCCATCCCTTCCAGGGTGGCGACGAACGTCTATGCAGTGCGATCGGCCCCTCAGCGCCATCGTACCTGGCTTCACAGTTCGGATCGCGCATCTCTTCCAGGATGGCGACGAACGTCTCATATGCAGCACGATCAGCGCCCCAGCGCCATCGTGTCTGGCTCGTGTTCGGCTCGCCCATCCCTTCCAAGATGGCGACGAACATCTCTTATGCAGCATGATTGGCCCCTCGGCGGCATCATGTCTAGTCCACCTTCGGCTCCGCCCATGCCATCTCGGATGGGGGACTCGTCTTATGCAACACGTCTGCTTCTCGGCGCTGACATGCCCGGGTTATCAATGAGAGCTACTGCTTCTATCACATCTTGCATTCCCTCTCTCATACATTACATACATACATTACATGCATACATACATTCATGCATCATACCTCATACATTCATACATACACACGTGCATCATGTTTTGATAGTACCGCGACGTCGGGTTATAGATGATGGACCTCTAAGCTTTTCCGATTGGAAAGCTCGAGTCAGAGTCCTTTACTCCCGCCTGATGCATTCAGGGGGAGTGTGCCCGTGGAGGAGCACCCTTCGCCCGACCCTGTCGGGAAGGGGGGTGCCTCACTGGTAGATTACGTTCAGGAGTGCAGACACTCACTCATATATGATGATTATGTGAAGACACAGTTTCCAGCTAGACAGAGGCAGAGCGCAGGCAAGAATATACTTTCTCGAGCAGATTCGCGCACTCACTACTCAAGAAACTGGGGGACTTGTGTTGGGATATATTATCCCGGCCTATTACTGTTCAGGAGCCCAAGACAGTATCCAGTACGGAGCCCGAGCAGCTAGGTCCATTTCGGTGCATTCTGGCCCACTTTGGCCATTAGGCCCGGCATCGGCCCGTTTGGCCCATTAGGGTGGAGAGCACCCTTCCCCTTTCCCCTATAAATATGTGGTTTCCCTCCATGTTTGGGGATCCCCTTTTCCTCCTTCATGCTTCTTCTTCTCTAGACTAGCTTGATCCTCCATTAATAGGAGCTTGAATATTGTACTATGTAATGGTGAGGAGAGTCCTAATGAGAATGAGAGGGCTTGGACATTAGCCTAAAAAGTCCCGTGGTTTTCTCCCTTTCGGGTTTCCACGTAAAAACTGAGTGTTCATACATATATTTACTATATCGTGTTGGATTAAACTCAACAAAAATATATGCATATTTCTTTCCCATATGCTTGAATTGCTTACAGAATTTTGTTGACAATACCTGTAACAGTGGCCACTGCGGAGAGAAGCTTTTCAAAGTTGAAGTTGATGACAAGTTATCTACGATAAACCATGTCAGATGATAGATTAAGTGGATTGGCTATTTTATCTATTGCAAAAAAAGTGTTAGCTAGTCTTGATTGTGCACTTTAAAAGGCAAGGAGGATTGGGTACTAAAAAGTACACTTTCTGGTGTATTTTATTTATGTTACATTTAAAACTTTATTGGTTTGAAATTCACAATATGTGTTGTTTTTGCATTTATTTTATCATATTTGTCATGATTGTCATTTATACAAATTACATTGATATGATATTATGATATATGTTTACTGAAGTTTTTTTGAAGCTTTTCCGCCCAGGGCCTCCAAACCGCTAGAGCCGGCCCTGCTTGGTATAGGTTACTGATTAATTGTGATTTTTGTTAAGCAATTGATCACAAGTTCAGTGCAACATTTTTTAAATTAAATGTCCATGATATAAAATAAAGTAATATGTGGTATCATGACCCATTTTTGCTTCATGTATAATAAATTAATCTAAAATGAAAATAAAAGTAACATGGAATGGATTGAAGCCTTGAAGTGGGGAAAAGATAAAAGTAAGAGTAAGAAAATAACATGGTGTATTGCTCGAGCAAGCAAGAGAAAAGAACAAATAAATAAATAAAAGAAAACTAAAGAAGCCACATCAACACGTTGCTACATGCCTACATGCAGTGTTTAGCAAAATGGCTCGTTGGATTGAAAATCTATTTTAAAAAACTGTTTTACGAAACATGCCTTGTCTGGAAAATGGCTTATCGGCCAATTTTTGACTTCTTTGACTATAATCAATGATATTGACCATCTAAATAGCTAAAATTGTTGTTTGGTAAATGGACTGTTGGATCAGCTTATTATACACAACCAGCTGAAATTGAACACGCTAGGGTGAGGAGTGTTTTCAATGAGCTTAATTATCTGTTTTCTTCCGTTTATATACTTTGCGTTCCACTATATATGTTTTTTTCTCTTTCTTAAATGCGACAAGACTCAAACAAATAATTAACAAAGAATTAATAATTAATGAAGAAATGCATTTCTATAACTAGGTAGTTTATAGGTTATCTTATAGTCGTTATGAGTATTTATATTCATTTATACACAATATAATCTATGATATAAGAATAGTTCAATGTAAAAGAAAAAATTTGTATTTCTCAAGTGAAATTACATTTCTTTTCTTACACACAGAGTATATTGGAAAAGGAATACACCTCTTCATGCGAGCTGTGTCAATTTATTTTTTTATCCACGCGAAGCATACATATCTAATGTATGGAGTATGCCAATTTATTATTTACCCAATTGAGTGGCCGGGCACTAATAATCTGGAACTCAGGAAGCATTCAATATTTGATTTTTGGTTTGCTATCAATCGCTATGCATTCAATATAGTTGTTTTTAAAAATTCTAAAATACGAATGGTTTATTCAAATTAAATTAGAATGTTTCTTTTATTTATTCTTTTCATCTAGTTTTATTTATCAATTTCTAAAATTTTGAAAATATGAATGATTTGTACTTTGTAAGTAAATGCAGGTAATATTATTTGTATATGCAATAGTTAAAATAAATTAAATATTAATGTCTATAAATGTCTTTTTACACTCAAACAGTTATTTTTAAACAACTAATTTACTAAACATTTTTTGACAACAAACTAACATAATTGGCCAACAAAAACATCTGACACAACCACCTATTGTAGGCGTTTGGCAAATGGTTGTTGCATGTTGACTGTTGGTTGATTGTATTAGCTGATTGATGACAACAGATTCTGTTAGTTGTTTTTATTAGCTATTAGTGTTAGCAGTTTATAAAATGATGTTTGGTTAAATGACTGTTTACAATTAGCTAATATGTTGTTAAATGACTTTTAAGGACGTCAATAACTTTTTGTTAATGTTACTAGTACGACTACCTAAATCGATTTTATGATGCATTTGAAAAAATAAATTTTTTTAACACAAGTAATAAATAGTCTAAACATTTTTTCATGTATTAATAAATTTAATCAGTGTAAAAATATTTTGATAAATAAATGTAGATATAGGTAAAAATATATTAAGAAAAGTTGTGCAAAAAATGAAAAATGTATTTAAATATTAATGTCACCGTGACAAAATATTAATGACCATAATCAAAATACTAAGAGGGGATGATGTATATTTTTCTATTAAGAGCAAATGGAAGTCTTGGGTAAACATGCATCTCTTACAATCCTCGTGAAGTATCACAGTGGTTGTTAGCCACCCACCACTATTAGAAGATCATAATTATACTACAATTGAATATTAGATTGTTACTATTAGCAATAATGGTTTGTTTTTAACGTATTACCAAACGATGCATTAGGGGTGTTTTTACTTGGACCGTTTTTAGTCACACTCTCACATATCATACTAGACCAGACTTAAACAGACTAGACTAGATCAGATCAAACCAGATCGGACCATATCGGACTTCCATAGTTATGAAATACACAAAGATCAGACATTTACCATACCGAACCATCAAATTTCAGTCCAAGTAAAAATATCTCAAGCCAAGCCAAAAAGCTAAGTTGAGTGGCATTTCCTACTTTGATTGTTTGGAATAAAAGCCAAGTGAAAAAGCTAATTAAGCAAACATTATTATTAGCTGTTTGATCTGATGAAAAGGCCATTAGTGGTCAAAATAACCAAAAAATGGCTGATAGGCTGCTAACCAAATACCCCCATTATCAATCAACTGTCGTTATAAGCTAGCAGTTAACAATCGATTGCCAAATAAGGTCATAGCCATTGTAAGCCTAAACGCGAAAGGTGAGACTTAAGAGTGAAATGCAGATTTTTCAGATAAATTACTTTTTTTGTGAATCCTTACTAGTTCTCATCCTTACTCATCAAACACAAATCATTGTAATCACAGACATGGCAAGATTCAATAGTGCCAGCAAATCATGTAGAATCATTCCTAGATTATTCATCCCATGTCTGGCTAGTATAAATAGGGTTTGCTCAAACTCTAGTAAATTAACTCAGTAATTTTAGAGATTAAGAAGTTATTTAGAGGTTATTAATAATATATCTATCTCTTAAATTTGTTCTTCTTCTTCTTCATTTCACAACACGTTATCAGCACGAGTTTGCTCAAAATATTCAATAATTAGCATCTCCAATCATCTCCTGCAGGTATTAACATTATTATTACTCCGTATTATCCTATGTATTATTATGAAAGTAACTCTGCGATTACCCAAACTCGAAATTATACGGAGTATTTGTTTACGTAACTTCTAAGCAAAAGAAATTGGGGTCGGCTAACATGAATCGATACATGATATCACCATCAAAAGAAAAAGAAAGAAAATAAAGATAAAACAGATAAGCTATTATAAAAAGATAATATAAAAAAAGATGAATACACCTAAAAATGATAAAATAAAAAGGGATAAAAATAATGTTTATATGTGTAAGGGTAAAAGGATAAAAAAACAAAAAAAAAAGAGGGGAAAAGATAATACGAGATCACTCCTCCACACGAATACCCGCCCTCCACTTTGCTCTCTCTAAAGTTATACTCTCATCCAACCCAAGAAGAAGCATATCACTTCGGACTCCCCTAACCCATGTCTGTTTGGGCTTTCCTCTCCCTCTCTTCCCTGCCTCTTCTCCACACATCTCAACTCGTCTGATAGGTGCATCATCCGGTCTTCTACGCACATGACCAAACCACCGTAAGCGCGACTCCTGCATCTTGTCTTCAATAGGTGCTACTCCCACCCTTTGTCTGATTGTCTCATTCCTCACATGGTCCTTCCTAGTATGCCCACACATCCAACGCAGCATGCGCATCTCTGCCACACTCATCTTTTGAATGTGACATTGTTTCACCGTCCAACACTCTACGCCATACAGTAATGCAGACCTAATTACTGTCCTATAAAATTTACCCTTCAGTCTAGTCGGCATACCTATATCGCATAGAAATCCTGACGCACTCTTCCACTTCATCCACCCTGTTCTGATTCTATGGGATACATCTTCATCTAACTGACCATCCTTCTGAATTATTGAGCCCAAGTAACGGAACATATCGCTGACCGGTATCTCCTTACCATCTAAAGTAATTACGCTATTACCACTGCTTCTACCTCCACCAAACTTGCACTCCATGTACTCTGTCTTGCTCCAGCTTAGTCTGAAACACTTATTCTCCAATGTTTGTCGCCCTCCACTTTGCTCTCTCTAAAGCCATACCCTCATCCAACTCAAGAAAAAACATGTTATATACTATCTAATAAACCTAATACGAAGTACGGAGTAGTAAAAAGTAACTATAAGTCATTTTGTGTTTATACTGTTTATACATCTAATAATTATGTACATTGAATAAAGTAAAAATTAGACTTCATTTTGTATAATATTTTTGAACATTTATTCATTTTCCTTTTCTGTTTTCCCCTAATCTCCATTTTTTTTAATCTCGGTTAGGAACCAAGCCTAATATAGCCAAAGTAGGGTCTTGGTCCTACATTCAGGAAAGTTGGGATTGAAACTGGTGGATCCCAACGTCTAGTTTGATTGATTCTTTTCTCTTTCCCTATTGGTTGGTAATGCAACAACTCTTGAAACTTTTTTCTTTGAAAAAATGATGTATAAAAATAGGATCAAAATGTCGGGTCGTTGATTAGATCGGACAGGGATCGTCAAGTCGTTGGCTGGATCGAGCTTGCCTGATCGTCGAACGGATCGAATAGGGATACACAGGTCATCGACCATACTGAGCAAGAACCGTCGGATTGTTGATCGGACCGAATAGGGATCACTGAATCGTTGACCGGACCAAACAGAGATCGTCAGGTTATTGACTGAACCGGAGCGAAACTGAGACCGTGAGCAGAACCGGGTCCCCAACTTGGCATAAGTATGCAAATTCATTGCAACAACATTGCAAATTTAGAAAACTAGTAAAACTCACTTATCCAATTCATTAAATAAAATAGAGATGCAACTCTTTTTTCTATAATTGATTAGGTAAACGCACGTTCCTAATTTTTTTTTTCCAGTTTTCCAGCAAACTTTTTCAATAAACACATTCTCTATTTTCTTTTTATAGTTTTCGGTTTTCTAAAAATAAAGACTAAAATCTCATTATTGATTATCCTAAGGGTTGATTTGCAACTCCTTTTAAAAAAGCACTTCTCAACTTTTGGCTATAAAAAAACACTTATTTTCCCAAACACTACAACTTTTATTTTCTTGGGTTCCGCGTCAAAAGTGCTTTTACCTTTTCTATTACACAAAAGCACTTATTTTAACAAACACTACCCACTTTTACTTTTCAAAATAATTTTTTTATCAAACACTATCAACTTTTATTTAATCACTTCTCCCCATTTCATTAAAAAAAGCACTTTTTTAAAAGTAGAAGCTGTTGCAAACAGACCCCGAGTCCTAACCTTCATTAAAAAAGAGGAAAACTGTCAAATAAGTCCTCGAACTTTCATAAAAAGTCAATTAAGTCCTTCTATAAGAGATTCTGTCCGGTCGTCGTGATTTGGGGTGGTTTCTGGTGGATTTTTTTATGAAAGTTTTTGAGCATCTTATTCATCAAGTCTAGTTAACTCAAACCAAATTTCAGCTAAAAATTTAATCGGGAGCGCATTCAAATTAATTCGAGAACGCAAAAATGCGCAGTTATCTTCAAGAATTAATTTGAATGTGTTCCCGATTGAATTTTTAGCTGAAATTTGGTATGAGTAAACTAGACTTGGTGAATAAGATGCTCAAAAAATTTCATCAAAAAATTCCACCGAGAACTGCCAGAATCGCAAAGACCGGACAAAACCTGGACTTAATTGATCAAAGTTACAGAACTATTTTACCGTTTTCCCAAAAAAATTCCTAACCTTCAAAGGCTTTTAAGCAAACTCATACGTAGTACTACGTACTACGTAGTACTACGTACTACGTATGTTGGAGTCCGGGTCTATGCGGGCATGGCCGCCGCGATTGCTAGACCGTTAATCCGGCGGCTTCTATGGCACTCCTTAACAACAGTAGCGCCGCATTCCACCGCCCCACCGCAATTCAAGCTCCACGCGAACAGAGATTTCGCCACATCCGCCACCCGCGCCCGTAGAAATAAAACTAGATCCATTGAGATTACGAGTAGCGTCGCAGAGAAGAAGAATAGCAGAAAGTCGATGCTCAATAGAAGGACTCGGTCGGATAAGGATATTGACGAGGAGAGCTTTCTGAAGCTGTATGGAAATGACAATTCTGGTCATGTTCCAGTCTTGCTTGGTGAAGTGTTGGATGTTTTTTCCTCTGTCCACCTCCGCTCCTTCGTCGATTGCACCCTCGGCGCGGCTGGCCATTCTTCCGCGGTTCGTTTCACTAATTTTTTTCTTTTAATAAAAAAATGAATGTTGGATTATGTGCTGGTAAATACCTCACTTAAGCCCTACGGCCAAACCTGTAAGTTCATAGCCACCCGCTCTCACTGTTTTAGAGGTAGGGGAGTGATTTTAATGTATTGAAGGAAAAGGGGATGATAAGTGAACTACCAATTTTAATGCTATCTTGTTACTTGTTAGGTTTATAGGAGAGCCTAAAGATTAAATAGCATGTAAAACCAAACCCTTTTTTTATTCGATTATAGATGACTGCTTCTAATCAATTAATAATCATGAGTATTACAATATATTTATTTACAAACATATTTGATAGTTCTTGTCATAAAGTGAAGTGATGGACAAAATTAGGCGTGTAATAACTAATAAGTTTTCCATTTCCATGTTTTCCACTATCTAAATTTTACTATATGGAATTCCAAGACAGAAGCAATTCATTAATTAAATGTATGAAATGGTAAATATGACGTTTGCATATGAAATAAATTATTCCAAGTAATTTACGCTCAGGTTGTTAGAGGAATGTCTATTGCCATCTAGACAAGCTCTTGAGCAGTGTCCTTTGCGATTGTTTTCATTGTCATTATTGGATTCTTGCTGATTTCAACTCTGAACACCAGATTATTCTTGCACATCCAGAGATGCAAGCTCATATTGGTTTTGATGTTGATCCAGTTGCACATCGAATGGCTCAAGATCGAATCAATGCTCTCTTAAAGAACGAATCTAGTTTTACAGATTCACAATTGAAGGTGCATACTTATTTGAAAAATTTTAAGGATGTGAAATATGTGCTTTGTGAGGTCGACAAGAGACTATTGACTTCTGGAGTTGATGGGATCCTTATGGACTTGGGAATGTCCTCTATGCAGGTATACTTCCACTAATTAAGAGCCCGTTTGTTAACACTAAAATTAGCTGAATCGGTTGAATCTATTGAAATTGATAAAGTTCTAGCCGAAGCGGCTTCATCTGCTAAATTATGTACAAGTTATATTTAAAATATATTTTATTAATAATATAAAGAAAATATTATATGAAAAAATAGCTCAAAGGGTCCTCTACAACAACTTCAACCAATTCAGCGCGCGAAGTCAATAGCTAAGTGTTTGGTAAATAAAGTTGACTGACTAATAAGCTGAAAATAGGGGTTACTAAACGGGCACCAAGTCTTGTAAAAGCTTTAATATCTGTACCACAAGCTATAATATTAGCTTTCTCTCATGTGTATAGTTCCTAATTTGACGAGTCAAGTGGGTGTTCTGTATTGTATAACGCGGTGGAGTTTTCTAGAGAACATACATCTTAAGGATCTATTCCTCTCGATTGATGTATATATGCAGGTGAATGATGCTCAAAGAGGTTTTAGCGTGCTAAAGCGTGGGCCTCTTGATATGCGGATGGATCCTAAGGTAGTTTTATCAACTTTTATCACTTCACACTAATCTTTTGACTACAATTAGCACAATGGTACTAGGTGTGGAACCATTAACCTTAATCACATTGTGGAGGACTGGGATGAGGATAAGACACATGAACCATTCATTTATTTTCAGTCTGAACATCAATCTGCTATTTTCAGGCTCTTATTCCACTCTGTTTCTGAGTGATTTTTTAATCCAGGGTAGAGAGAGCTAAATAGAGATAGCGAGGAATGTGTTAATTCATCGAATGTAATATGTTAAGAGAGTAGGGCATGAATGTAATATGACCCCTCCTCCACATCTAGGGGTGGATATAAATGTATATGTATATGCTCAGCCCCGGCTCAAGGGAAATAATAAATATAAAAGGACCCGTATCTGGATTAATAGTCGGAGTACCAAAGATGGTTGGGGCGTTGTTCAGCTTTGGCGGAGATGCGGGTTCGAGTCCCGCTGCCCTCCTTTTAATTACTACGGAGTACATTTTAAACTTCCTCTGCTTGCCTCTTAACTCTTTGGGATGTTATTAGTTTTAATATTTTTCCTATCACCCCAGATTTCTTTTACTTTTATTTTACATTTTTATTTTCTCAATTCAAATTTTTACCCTTTCGAGTATTGACATGCTATTTACATTTTCTGTTTAGTACAATAAGAGTAAAAAATGACCTTAAACTATTTCTTCCCTCTTCAAACATTGACCTATCACCTATATCATTTTATAAGCAGTTTATCAAGAAATATTTTAAAGCGACTTGAATTTTAACATAACTATTTATCTATTCTTTGGTTTTGTACAAATATGCCAAAATTTCCTGTTAATATTTGAAACATTTGACTTTATACGAGTATAATTAGATTTATGTAATAAATTTGCATAAATAAAACAAATATCCTTTTAATAAATAAATAACCTATAAGTAACATTGATTCGAAAAGAGAAAAACATAATTATTACTCCCTCTGTCCCATTTTATAAGATGTCTTTACTATTCACTTGGTCAACACAAATCACTCTTAATCTCTTACTTTATACTCCCTCCGTCCCGGAAAATTGTTCCCGCATTGATTTGGAACGGAGTTTAAGAAAGTGGGAATAAAGTGGAAATGTATGGTTGAGTAAGAAAAAGGTAAATGAATTGTAGCCACAGAAAACTTTCCAAAAGGGGAAAGGAGAACAATTTTTTGGGACGGCCTAAAAAGGAAACAGGGAACAATTTTCAGGGACGGAGGAAGTATATCAAAATTTTATGAAATTTGAATTATTTTTTGCAGGTTTTGTAGCGGTTTTAATGTAGTTTCTGAATATGTAATTCTTTTTTTTCTAAAATTAATTTGAGTGCACACAGGGATCTGTTTGCTTTATCGTCGGTCAAACATCGTAAACCGAAAAGTATCTTATAATTTAGGACGGAGGGAGTATTTTCTTGATCAGTTAGTAACCTATCGATAGTATAAGTTATCAATTTATCTTCCTCTACTTGTTTAGCTATATTTCTATTTAAACCTTGATATTCTAAAATAAAAGGACAAGCGTATTAAATCGAAATAAACTCGCTTGATAAACGAAGTCTATTATTTTGTTTAGGCACTAACAAAACAAGTATAAAAATGAATAAATGTCTATATTTAAGTTGATTAAATGTCTAAAAATCGTGTATGTATGTGTGTGAAATGTGAATTACACATAGGTCCAAATAAAGTGCCACTTCTTGAAAATGGTAATAATTTTTCTGCATTGGATTTGAGATCACATTACTGTAAATATACCCAAAAAACGGTAGAGATTATGGATGTTTTCAACCTGGCGTTTTGAATTTTTGTTTGCTCCCCTCAAATTTTGTTCTGGTTTTGCCCTGTACACAGCCTAGGGGTTTATTTATAGAGGCATAGAGCTTCAAGTATATAGCTACATAAGCTAAGCTTTCCCTTTGAAAAACTTTTTATACTGACCACTCCAAATGCCTGACCAGGAGGTCTGCATTGTGTGCTAAAGTTATCCGCTGGACGATAGGGGCCGTCCAGCTAACTCCAACAGCTCTTGCTGTCCCTGGGTCGTCCAAGCCGAGGCCCAACAGGACGTGCAGACCAAATCTCTAACGCTAGGCCCAACCTTCCAAGCCCAATGCAACAAATCCAAAGGCTCAATGCCTCAATCTTGGTCTGAGACCCAAACCCATTCTTTCTAGCTCCTGTACTCTATCAGTTTTTTTAGTACTGTGTGAGTGTGTGAGGAAACATGTGAGCTTTATTAGTTGAGTATGGTAGATTGCCTTTTCCGAAAGCTGTACTTTGTTCTTTTTTAGTTGTAATGATGAATAATGTTTGTTCTGTAGATCTATTCCATTCATATATTGTAGCAGCTTCCACCTGATTTGAACAGGTCTGTGGCAGGCAACTCTGAAAGCTGAAGACATTTTAAATTCTTGGCCAGCTGATGAAGTGGGGAGAATCTTACGTGATTATGGAGAAGAAAGCAATTGGCACTTTCTTCAAAACAAAATTGTTAGCGCCCGCTTGACTGGTGGGCTGCACTCTACTGGTCAACTAGTTGATCTTATTCAGAAATCAACTTTCAGGACGAAAGGTTCTTTCTCCTTTACTTCCCATTCTTTGTTTTCGAATTCCTTTCAAAGAAGCATACCGATCTATCTAATATATTAATAACAATAATCTCTCCATCCTTTAATTCACGTTTTCTTCTTAAGGCTTGTTTAAACCCAGTCCGATTTTTCTTAATGATTATGGCAACTATGGTCTCATGATATTTGCCATGCAAGTGGAAATTATTAATGGGATGGAAAAAATGAATCTGGGGGCACCAAAAGTTAAAATGAGATTTTGGTTATGACCTTATGGGCCAATAGTGGAATATAAAGTTTTCCATCCCAGTTGAAATAACCTATGGTGATGCTGGTGCGGATTTAGAATTTCACATCTCATTTTTATTCATTCGTAAGAGTGTTGCAAGGAGATGGGCGTCTGGTGCAGAACTTCAGCGCTGCTGTTTGTGTGTATGAATTTAGACAATTAATTAACAACATAAGTTTAATACCATAGACCGCAACTAGCTAGGGTTGAAATGTTGATATTTATGAACCAATGGAAACTATAGATTGGCAAAGTTGGAGGTTAGATGGTGAAAGGGGAAATTGGACTTCACACCCTTTTTCATCTAACTAGAATGTGTGCCTCATTTTTAAAAATCATTGATATTTGCACCCTGAAGTTCAACAGATCTGTTTAAAATGGGGCACAAACTCCAATATGGAAAAAATAGGCATGTAAACTTAAAATGTTTAGGATGAAAATGATGTGGAAACTCAAACTTCTATGAAAAAATGAGGTGCATACTGAAAATCCTTCACGATGAAATTTTGATGTACTTTTGCAAATACAGGAAGACAAGGCTGGATAAAGACGGCAACAAGAGTCTTCCAAGCTCTTAGAATAGCTGTTAACGATGAACTTAGGACGCTGGAGGGTTCCATCTATTCCTGTTTTGATTCCCTTGCTCCTGGTGGGCGGCTAGCTGTCATCTCTTTCCACAGCTTGGAGGACAGAATAGTGAAGCATTCATTTCTCCGTGTCATCAATGGGGGCGATCCTGCATCTTCTAGAGCTGAAGAAAAATGCTCTCGAAATGAAGATGGTGAAAGAGAGTTGTGGGTTAAACAGATTATACAAGGCCGGGATGGGACTATCCTCACTAAGAGGCCCATAACTCCATCTCAGAGGGAAGAGATGCTGAACACTAGAAGCCGGAGTGCCAAACTGAGGGTAATTCAGAAAGCTCCGTGATGGATGGAGAATTGCTAATTTTGGGTTGTTCTGACAAGTGCCAACCAATATTGTAAGAGTAGTAACTATATCATTCCTTTTAGCATTATAGTTTTTTTGGGTGTACTTTCTCTTCCTCCCATTATGTGTTCTGTTAAATGTCAAACATCCTTGATTGGGATGAATTTCGAACATGTGACCTCCTTGTGATCGAACCATAAGGTGTTTGGCGGGTAGCTTGGTTGGTAAAGTTAAATTTAGATAAACTATCCCTATTAGTTAAACTTGTCAACACTCAACATTGGGGTCAATTGAACTTAATTTAATTTCCATGTATAAATTTTAAGTATTAATAATAATAAATTAAAAGAAATACTTAATTAGTTGCTCCGGGCCTCGGGTCCTATAATTCCTATTTATAGGGCTCAATGTGATAATCTCTATTTCTAATTAAGTCATTTGGGCACTTTGAATTTATTTCCAAAATTTATCCTATCAAATGAAGTCTTGATAAAGAAGTTCCGTTTGTAATTTAGGTTGATGCGGACGACACAATAAGGGAGTGTTTGCGATTGCTTGTGCTTTTAAAAAGTGATTTTTTTAAGAGATTTTTGGAAAAGTGATTTTAAGTTAAAGTAGATAGTGTTTGGGAATAGAAGTGATTTTTGTTAAATGGTAAAAGTTGGAGTGTTTGATAAAAAAGTGATTTGAGATATAATATTTTGATAAATTACAAATACACCCTTATGCCTTGTAAGATTTTGTTAAAAGACTACTTCATCCGAAGCATCGGAAGACCCATTCGCCGGTAGGGAAGCCGTCACCGCCACTGTGGAGTTGAAGTGGATCGTTGTTAGTTTTGAGTCTTGCCGTCATGGGGTTGCACCGTAGCAGTATCCGGCATAGGCGCCGCCGTTGAGAGCTACTCCACCAGTTTTCCTCAATTGATTGCGAAGATCTGGTTGTTGGTTTGAAAATTAGATGGGAAAGGATCTCCCTGCTAGTAGCTTCTCCATCCTATTGTTGGTTTTAAAATTTGGCCGTCTGTTGTTGCTAATTGCTTCGCCGGAAGATTCTACCTGCGTAGAAGGAAGAGGGACGTAGAAGGCAGAGGGATAGCTCGCAGGTTTGTGGGACAGAGGGCAATTTTGGTTTAATCATCTTTTTTGGCATTTGAATAATCCCAAAAGTTGGACTTATTTACTGGAAATACCAAGAAGCAGAAAAAAGCATGCCCTGACCTGCTTTTGGCTTTTGGCTTAAAAGTGATTATATTAAGCTGAATTTTTCTTTTGCAAACACCTCATTTAGCTTTTACCCTCCAAAAAAGCTAAAAGTGCTTTTTTAAAGCAATAGCAAACACACCTTAAGACATGTACGGAATATTTCAATCATTTAAAATCTTTTTAATTATATAATATGAATTATTTAATAATGTGGAAATGGGAATGAAAATTGCCAGTTTAGCAATATACCAAGGGTATGTTTGCAAATAATTTAAAAAGTGATTTTCAACTTTTGACTTAAAAATTTGAAATGAGTATTTTCAGGTGACAACTTCTACTTAAATTAAACACTTAAAAGTTAAAAGCTGGAAACTACATTTTGTTATGTAATTATGGATACCCATTAGTCCGCAACACAAGCCTTGTGTACTGGCCCATCTAATAAGTGTAACCCTAGCTCTTCTTTTGTATATATATAGTCTTGGACCCGGTTTGGGCCGCCCGGCCCGTGGACCGGCCCGTTTCTCGGGTCCGGGTCGGGCCTAGGCCCGGTGGGGGGCGGGTACGGGCTCGGGCCTTGTATTTGGCGAACCGGCCCGGCCGGGTCGGGCCCGGGTCCGGGCCGAATTGATTTTTTTTTTTTTTTTTCATTTTTTGGGGTTCCACCCGGGTTGGGCTTGATGGTTAGGAGGGGTTTGGGGGGGTGAGGGGGGTTAGGAAAGCAAAAAAAAAAAAAAAAAAAAGGAGGACCGGGCCGGTCCCGGGCCTTCCTTCCCAAAAAAAAGTCCGGTCGGGCCCGGCGCGGGTCCATGACTATATATATATGGGGGTATATGTGAATGAAAGAGATGTCTTTTGATGTTGTTCATAATACGTTATCAGCACGATCCGCCTCTTCTATGGGTGGACCGGTTCCGGTTCGGGCCCGGTTCGGGCCTGGGCCCGGCCGGGCCTCGGTTCAGAAAAATGAGGCCCGAGCCCGAACCGGTGGTGGGCGGTTCCGGTTCCGGGCCAGACCGGGCGGGGCCACCCGGATTTTGAATTTTTTTTCTTCTTCTCTTATTTAACCCCTTACCCCTCCCCCTCCACCCCAAACCACCTCAAATGGCCCAAAATACCTAATCCAACCCAAAACTTAAAAAAATTTCAAAAAAAAAAAAAAATTAAATTCCGGCCCGAACCGGGCCGGTTCACTAAACTGGAGGCCCGGGCCCGGACCGCTATACCACCGGGCCGGGTGGCCCGAACCAGGCACAAACCGGTTCACCGGGCTGGTCCGGGCCCGCACAGTAGCGGGCCGGTCCGGTTCCGGGCCGGTTGGCCCGGCCCGAGTCCATCCATAGCCTCTTCTCCTTCCAAGAGAAAAAAAAACATACTTGCATTCTCTAACCTATTGTTAGCATCTTCTTCTTTGGTTGTTCTATCGCTGGTTGATTGTTCCATCTTCTTCTCGGGCCATGCTAGCTGGTCGTTCATCAGTTGAAATGAAATTATCAATCCGGTGAAAATAGCAGCTTGCCACACCTTAAAGCTTGACTGATCAGTCTCCCAGCAATTTCCCAGGGACTCTCAAGTCGGAATCAACACATCGGCTCCTTTTAACTTGTTTACATCTTTCTATCTCATTTCCTTATTGGAGCCGATTTCATCATTATCCAGTGTCTTTCCACTTTCACGATTAAATTCAATTTTTTTTGGCGAACGACGAGAGAAAAAAGTAAATGTGGGTCGCATGTATATGAAACTTAAATTGGGTCTGAAGTCCCATGCATCAAGATATTGTGTAAGTGGAGTGCCAATACTTGACTTTGAATGATTTTGAGATTACATTCCTCTTATAATTTAAAGTTCTGTAAATATGGCAGTTGATGAGAAATTGAATGTTATTGCTATGATTTGAATTGTGAGTTCCTGAAGGACATTAGCAAAATGAAATATGTGCACACAACGTACATTTTTTTGTGCACACAACATACAACATGAATATGAATCCTTTTTATGTTTACAATAATTAGACAAAGAGATGATGGTAGAGAATTATTTGTTAAGTGAATTCAGAATTGAATGAGCAACTGCAATAGTAGGAGATTCAATAAATTGCAAGTATAGTTGAAAATGTAGAAAATAGATGATTGTGCCTAATTACAACCAGGGTAACTATGCTTGATTATCATTGTATGAAATATACTTTCTCCGTTCTTTTTTAGTTGCAACGGTTAACATTTCACATTTGCTAACGCACATCTTTGACCGTAAATATATCTTAATCTCGATTAGTAAAAAATTTTAAAATCAAATTTTGAAAATTTGTACTGAGATGAATTGAACAATATTTTAAAAAAAAATAATTTTCATAAAATAATACCATAAAATGTAGTCAAAGTAGAGTCCGTGAATAATGTAAAATTCAACATGTTGAGATTAAAAAAACGGAGGATAGTATTATTTAATGTCTTGGTTGAACAAGGTTTTCGCACAATGTGAAAATTTCACCTGTAGTTAGTACCTCCTTTAGAAGATCTAATGTGAACAATTTCTTTATATGTTTTCACATAATTTCGTGGCTAGTATATAAAATAGTTTCACGGAGATATTTTTATACTACATTTCAATCTTTCGTGGATAAAGAGTACGATAAGGAAAACATTATGCAATGAATTTGCAATTAGTCATGCAGGACTATAAACCATCTATTTGTTCACTTGAAGTAAAAACATATATTGTTCTATGAACGAAAATGTATAAATTAAGGTGTCAGAAGCTTTTAAACACCTAACCAAACTTAGAAACAACACACTTGAATCTTTCGATTTAAATGACATTTGATTATATACGTGAACACGTGAAGTGTACGAGATTGAATCTATGAGAATGAATAACATGGCTCAATTATTGAATGTTTGATGTGCATAATAGCAATAAACTCGGTGGTCTTGAAATACACATCACAAAATCATGAGTTTAGACAATTGCTTCTGCTTAGAAACTCTTGGAGTATGGTGAATTGGTGACTAATGATGGAGGTTTATATACTAAAGATCTTAGAACAAGTCTTTGAGTAAACTTGCATGCAGTTAATATACATAAAAATGGAAGAATAGAATGTATATATGGATGAAGTAACATTTTTTCATGTCAATCCCTTACTATTGAACACAAATGCTGTATACCAAGCTATATTATCAGTCACCTTTAGCTAAATTTAACATTCACGCATCAGGAGGATTCCCCTAGCTAAAAGACGCTCTCATCCAAAACCAGGAAATGCTCTGTAAAAACGCTCTTATAAAAACCAGTGGAATCAGGAAATAGTTCTTTGCCTCATCCATTTTGTGGCAGACCACTTTTCTCCTGACACAACCTCACACCCTCCATGTAGGCTACTCGGGTCCGTTTCTCCATTGAGCCCCTGAAAGAAAATCCAATGAATGCAACGTGTAAGGCAGTCTGTGTGTGTATCACATAAGATTGTGCTCTAAATATCCCAAGTACTAGCATCTCACATCATTTAAGATGCAAAACCATGCTTGAACACATATTAACCTTCAGATTTAACTTGTGAATTTTTCTTTTTGTTTGACAAATATGACTTTGCATGTTGTCATAAGTTTTCAACAGAAATACCCTTACACTCTTCTATCTCCAGAGGAGCTGCAGCAAAAGTGAGATCAGTAAGTAGCCAACTAACAAATTAGATTTCAACTATTTCATTAATAAGTGTAGCATCGGTATTTTGGGGAAATAAAAAACTGTTCGACTGGGCAGGGTTGGTTCCTGAACCCATATCCTCACTCATATCTGCTCTCTCAACGACCAAGGCAGCTCCGTCAGAATGACATAATCGGCTTGGTCACCCCTCCCCCCATCCTTACTAAAATTTTAGCTACATTTCAGTTAGTTGCCAATGGTGTTGTGTAACTCCGCCATGAGATCATTTTTTTTTGGTTTCATGCCTGTCCCAAGCCAGGATAAAGGAGGAGGGTGCTATGGTAGGCGCGTGACGGCCAACAGTATTACCTAGTCACATCACATGACATGAATCGAAATATGAATATCGCTATAGCTAGGTCGTCGCCCGTAAGCGACGTGTCATCCCACCGCCTGGGG